TCATAACTTCCTCAATATTCGTCGGAATTGGGCTTATAATATATCGTTGGAAAGGTCTTTGCAAGCCCCATCCAACTACACCACTATTGGACCCATATCATGGACCAACCAAACTGGATTTGCTGTTTTCTTAAAATAAAGTTTTCAAAAACAGAGAGAAGAGAAAAGAAAATAAAATAAAATAAAACTTTCCGCAACACTAAACCTTTCCACACTTTCGTTTCATTCGATTATGATTCGACGTGAAAGGTACTCATCACTGGGTTTGGTTTTGGGGAGACACAAATGGGTGTCTACACTTTGATAAAGTGAATTTGTATTACTTTAACCATGTTTTGTTCACTTTTTGTTGATTATCTACTTACATGAATGTCTATCCTTTATTATAGGTTTGATGATAGGCCGGTGAAGAATGTGCTCTCCGACTCGCTAACCGACTACTATGTTCAGCCTTGGAGCAATTATGGAGAGGTTGATGAAGATTCGAGAGAGCACTTTTGGAACTTGTTCAACGTATGATAACTTTAACCTAACATAATACATGTTTTATAAATTATATTGATGGAGTTGAATTTTGTAATAAAGACATTTTCTTGATTTGCAGAAAAAATTCAAGTGGGCACCTGAGTTAAACAACCAAGTGAAGGACACTTTCGAAGAAAAGTTTGCAAATCGCCTACGTGACACGTTCTACAATATCACACACAGGCTGAATGGTCGCAAACCAAGATGGATTAATAAGGATGTCCACGAAGGCATGATTAAAATTGTTGCCACCGATCCAAAATATCAGAAGCGGTCGGAACAAAACAAGAAGATTCGAAGAGGCGGATCCATGGAAAATGTCGTTGAACCGACCCACTTTCAAGGTTCAATGTCATCTGTACAACATGCTAATAAGATGGTAAGGTTCCTACAATATGTCCAGTAACAATTATGTCATTTGTCTATTAATGAATTTTGGTGGGCTAACATTTTTCATTGATTTTCTGCATGTACATATAAAGGCTGCAAAAAACCAAGGCCAATTACCAAATGCCCATGATCTTTTCTTGAAGACACACTTCAAGGAAGTGCCTGGTAAAGGCCAAGTGGCTGCCAACAACAAAGCATAAAGGATTGCGGTAAACACTTATTATATGAGTTGATATATGGCAAATTAGCAAAGTAGAACTCAATATATGCTTATTTTGGATGAATTTGGATGAGTTAGGGTCGAACATTGACATATGTGCTTATTTATATTAATTTATATCCTTAGGTACTTAAAATTATGTGATATTGGAATGTTATAAGAAAGAACGAGTCCATTTGCTTGAAAACTTAGAAAATAGGCATGGTTTTAGCCATATAGGCCAAATTTTGATGATTTTCGATGAGTTAGGGTTGAAATTTGACATATGTGCTTATTTCTCTTAATTTATATCCTTAAGCACTTAAAAGTATGTGATGTTGGAATGTTATAAGAAAGAACGAGTCCATTTGCTTGAAAACTTAGAAAATAGGCATGGTTTTAGCCATATAGGCCAAATTTTGATGATTTTCGATGAGTTAGGGTTGAAAATTGACATATGTGCTTATTTCTCTTAATTTCTATCCTTAGGCACTTAAAAGCAATTGATATTGGAATTTTAGAAGAAAGAAACCTTACATTTGCTTGAAAACTTGGAAAATAGGCATGGTTTTAGCCATATAGGCCAAATTTGGATGATTTTGGATGAGTTAGGGTCGATATTTGACATATGTGCTTATTTCTCTTAATTTATATCCTTAGGAACCTAAAATCAATTAATATTGTAATGTTAGAAGAAAGAAACCTTACATTTGCTTGAAAACCTAGAAAATAGGCATGGTTTTAGCCATATAGGCCAAATTTGGATGATTTTGGATGAGTGAGGGTCGATATTTGACATATGTGCTTATTTCTCTTAATTTATATCCTTAGGCACTTAAAATCAATTGATATTGGAATGTTAGAAGAAAGAAACCTTACATTTGCTTGAAAACTTGGAAAATAGGCATGGTTTTAGCCATATAGGCCAAATTTGGATGATTTTGGATGAGTTAGGGTCGATATTTGACATATGTGCTTATTTCTCTTAATTTCTATCCTTAGGAACTTAAAAGAAATTGATATTGGAATGTTAGAAGAAAGAACGAGTCCATTTGCTTGAAAACTTAGAAAATAGGCATGGTTTTAGCCAAATAGGCCAAATTTGGATGATTTTGGATGAGTTAGTGTTGTAAATTGACTTATGTGCTTTTTTATCTTAATTTCTATCCTTAGGCACTTAAAAGAAATTGATATTGGAATGTTAGAAGAAAGAAACCTTACATTTTCTTGAAAACATAGAAAATAGGCATGGTTTTAGCGATATAGCCCAAATTTGGATGATTTTGGATGAGTGAAGGTTGAAAATTGACTTATATGCTTAATTTTCTTAATTTTTATCCTTAGGCACCTAAAAGTATGCGATATTTTTCCATATTGTTGGTTGTTTTTTTAACAATATTTTTTTTTATCTTCAATATTTTGTAGGACACCTACCAGAAGAAGCTCGAAGAAACAAGGAGTCAGGGGATTCAGAAGAGTCCCAATGAGTTGTACTGGGAGTCGGTGGGTGGGCGCAATAAGAAGGGGCGTGTGAAGGGACTTGGCCAAAGTGCAGAGCTCTACTATGGCAAATAGGATCGAGGTTCCCGTTCTTCACAGTAATACACGCCGTCTGTCATTTCTCAAATGCAAGACCAGATGGAACACAGGGTGCAAACTCTCCAAACTCAAATGGAAGCCCGAATGGCTGAAAAGGAGAGTTTCGATGAGATGATGAGTCGTCTCACCAACAACGACTTATGTTCCACCATTCATCCTCAGCATCGAGACCCTAGGAACGACCCGGGTGGTGGTGGAGCAGGCCAGGGTTTCCAAGCGATTGCGTAGCTTAGCTTTAGTCTAGCATAGAATCACTCTAACCTAGCTTTTGTTTGGTATAGATACCAAAATGTGGACTATCTTTTGTACTAGGACATAATTATTATATATATGTGTACATAACCCTAATTTCGTAGGTCGGTAATTAATTTTTGTAAAACAACAATTTTAGGACTCAATATTTAGTTTTTTTTTTTGTCGATTTATCATTAAAAAAATTCAGGTTTGAAAATGCAGAAAATTACAAAAATTTGTTTTGGGCTGGAAATACAATTTGCGACGGAATATTTTGTCGTAATTTACATATTTGCGACGAAATTTTCCGTCGTAAAATATAATTTGCGACGAAATTTTCTGTCGCAAAATATAATTTGCGACGGAATTTTCCCTCGCAAAATATTATTTACGACGAAATTTTCCGTCGCAAATATGTAAATTACGACGGAATTTCCGTCGTAAATAATATTTTGCGAGGAAATTTTCCGTCGTAAATAATATTTTGCGACAGAAAATTCCGTCGCAAATTATATTTTACGACGGAAAATGCCGTCGTAATCTAAAGTTTGCGACGGAACTTTTTCCGTCGGGAGTTTGCGACGGATCTTTATCAAAGGCCAATTCCAAGTCCGACGATATTATTTCCGTCGTAAAGTTGGTTTACGACGGAAATTCTGTCGTAAAATGGCCATTTTCCTACAAAGGGTTTTCCGACAACCATTTACGACGGAATTCCGTCGTAAACCAACTTTACAACGGAATTTACATAGTTTACGACGAAATTTTTCCGTCGCAATTTTGATGTTTTCTTGTAGTGTATGTCATTGAAGTTTACCCAATTATAATTTATTATATCCGTGCATCGCACAGGAATTAATCTAGTTTTAGTTTTAAAATGTTCACCTCATTTGTTTTTTCCAACAAACATTAATATTAATTTTTTTTTACCAAAATTCCCTCAAATTTCCAATTTGCAACAATACTTGTGCAAATTTAAAATTTCCATGTAAATTTTTTTTCCCATGTACTTTTATTACTTTCTCTCTCGATCTACTTTTTTGCATACCCAATGTCAATTTACTTTTTCAATATACTTTAAATATTCTTATTTGTGTTTATTAATTCCCGTGGAAATCGCTCATAAGGGACTATCAAAAGGGGACGGAGAGAGTATTTTTTTTAAGACGATTTTATCTCAAATCTCTAGCAAGGAGGTTGAGGAATTCTTAACGTAGTATATTGTTGTGTCGTGTCCAAGACTGTCAACTCTAGTTTTTCCAACTCAAATTAGTTATTCTAATGTTCGATCCTCTGTAACAATAATTGAAAGGGAACTGGAATCTAAGTTATCAGACCATCTAGAACTGATCCCTGAATCTGAATTAACCCAGAGGGTGAACATGAAAGAACACCAAAAAAAAAAATTACTACCTCCGTTAACCATTATCTGCAACGAACTTTGGAGGCCTTCACGAACTCCTAGGCAGAATTTGGTAATCTTGTTTAACAAATGTAAGAGAGAGTAATTAAAACAAAGAGGAGAGAGAAAGTGGGACATGCCCACATGGGTATTTTGGCTGGAAAACCAATTTTTGGTGGGGAACGATTTTCCCTCCTAACTTTTTGGACAAAATTTAAAACTTTTTCAAATTTTTTCCTTCCACGGGATACTTCAACTTTTCCATTCAGTTTCATTGGCTTATAAATAGCAGCCATAACATTTAATGTTCACCACCATTGTCATACTTCACCATTAATACATACCACCATGTAACAATGTTTCCCAAAAATTAAGTTAGCACTAATTAGTAATTACACATCAGTCACCCATATTTACCCAAAAAACTACCCCTAATCTAAATTAGTGCTACCTACATTAAGTGATCTTCATCTTTTTTTTTCAACCCTTTGTACAAAATCGTGGCAGCTTCACCAGCACCAAAAAAAGACTTTAGCTACCACCTTCTCTTCTCTCTTTCACTCTGAAAAAAAAAGCAGTCAGTGTTCCAACAAAAAAATGAATGATACATATGGTTATGATGACTAATTCTATGGAATTGATCAAATGCTTATGGAAGAAGAAGATAATGCATTTGAGTTTCCAGAAATTGACTCTGAAAATGAGGAAGAACATAGCCAGCAACAACATACAAACACCAATGAAGGTTTATCTGCATCTCAACAGGCAGACACAACATCAAGAAAACAGCTGAGTATGGAAAAAAAAAAAAGAGAAATCATTGATGCAATGTTATTGCAAATGCAAGATGGGCAGTTGCCTAGGGGAGTCAAGGCTCAAATGGCAGTAACATTTCAAGTGCACAAGTCAGCAATCACTAGAGTATTTGATGATCTAACCAAGAAGATGTCTGAGGGAAATGTGATTGATGTCAGAAACAATAAGTTGGGGAAAGTAGGTCGCAAACCAATGGAATACTCAGATGAATTCCTCCAATTAGTGCCTCTGTACAAGAGAACAACAAAGAGAAGCTATGCATCAGCTCTAAAAATTTCACATGTCACTATACACAATTTGAAGAAAAGGGGCAGACTCAGAACTCACACAAGCACCAACAAACCAACACTTACTTCAAACCATAAGGTTGCAAGGTTAAAATGGGCTTTAGCTCATGTTAACCCTATTCCAGCACAAGGGGACCCAAAATTTGTGAACATGCAATATTCTATTCATATTGATGAGAAGTGGTTCTGGTTAAATCCAGAAACAAGGAAGTTTTATTTGCTGCCAAAAGAGGAAAACCCATACAGGTGTCAACAGTCTAGAAGGTTCAAAATCAAAGCCATGTTCATGGCAATGGTTGGTAAACCCTTGTATGATGCTAACAAAAACTTGTTGCATGATGGTAAATATGGCATTTTCCCTTTTGTAATTTAAAAAAGAGCAGTTAAGTCAAGTAAGAATAGAGTTGTAGGGACAATGGAGACCAAGGCAGTAGAGAGTGTCACAAAGGAAGTGACAAGGAAAATGTTGCTGGAACATGTTATCCCAGCAATCAAAAGCAAGTGGCATCCTAGCTTACCAAAGAATGTGTACATACAGTGGGATAATGCAAGGCCACACCAGATCCCAACAGATCCAGAGTTTCAAGAAGCATGCATGCACATCAGATGGGTTCAATATTCAGATGGTTTTTCAACCAGCCCAGTCTGAATGTGCTTGATCTAGGACTGTTTACCTCAATATAATCCATCCAATATCAATCTTTTCCAAAGAATTTGGATGAACTGATTGAAAAGGTGAATGAGGCTTATGTTCAGTTTGACCCTAAAGTTAATAGGAATACTTGGATCACATTGCAACAATGCATGGTTGAGATAATGAAAAAAATGGAGGCAATAACTACCCCCCACTACATATGGGCTAAAACAGGTTAGAGAACCAAGGAATTCTTCCAGAACAGGTAGAGGTCAGCAGGGATATTATTCATCAAGCAGTGGAACATCTCAACACTATGTTCAGGCCAGTCAACTCAGCAGAAGATGAAGACACACAAATGCAGGTTGATGCTGATTAGAAGGAAAAATAGGTACAACAAAAGATGAACACATGGACTGCCACACCTAACCACATTATTTTGTTTAAGCAAACCTAAGTACCCTTTTGGTTGTAGATTTATTTCTTTGCTTATCTTTTGGGTGGTTATGTGTATTTTGGTTAGTAGGAAGGGAAGAATTTGTAGGGCAGTCATGTAAGAACAAGATTTGTGTGTGGTATTAAATTTTGTAATGGAACTAAATGAATGAACATGAAGCTTTTGTTTAACATATGGGACTCATGTCTTATCTTAGCCAAGTGTTACATTCCTTAAAAGTTAAGATAGGCACCCATATTTCCATCAGAAGGAATTTAATTTATTTTTTTTTTCAACAACACCATATGTTCAAGTGTTTTCCTCAACAACAATTCTCATTAAAGAAAAATTGGAGCTAAATACACTTTACAATAGTGGATCAAATGAGTCCCTTCATCATTTGGAAATGGCATACACACAACAACATCAATCTAGGACAACAACATCAACAAAGGGACCCAAACAAAAACCAGCATCAACCACCAACCCATATCATCAAGGAAGGGACTCATCAGTTCTCTCATACAAAGGTCATTGAGAACAAAGAAGGCATGAATCACAGAATAAATGCCTCAAACATGTATCATCATTCATCAATCACAATTCCCCTAAAATACAGAACAACAACATCAACAAAATAACCTAAACAGAAACCAGTATCAACCACCAATCCATAACATCAAGGAAGGGACTCATCAGTTCTCTCATACACAGGTCATTGAGAACAAAAAAAAAAGGCATGAATCACAGAATAAATGCCTCAAACATGTATCATCATTCATCAATCACATTTCCCCTAAAATACAGAACAACAACATCAACAAAATAACCCAAACAGAAACCAGCATCAACCACCAACCCATAAAATCAAGGAAGGACACAACTTAGCAGCAGGGCAGTATTAATTTCATCAGATAAATGAGATACACGAGTAAGAAGTAGGCAACAATCCATAAGTTCAAATAAGGGATACAAATCAACAACACACAACAAGCCATTAGATGAAAACAGGGACTGAATAACAAATTATCACCACAACACAACTTAACTTTCAAAACACACCAGAACCAACATCAGTGAATAGCAACTTAGGGACTCATAAACAAAGCAATTCAATGGTAAAAAAAATTAAGGGTTAGAGGGCGTTACTGAGTGCTTCAAGTAGTTATGGGAAGAACAACTCCCAATGAATCCTCTGTATCATTATCATCAGGGCCTCCATCATTTGGATCTGCAGCGGCTTCAACCCCACCAACACCAACCACGTTACGGTGCTCAGGAACACCAACCACATCCTGGCCACCACACCAGTAGGAGGAATTACCCCAACAGCAAGTTGAATAGGGTTTTCATCATCAGAAATCTCAATTACTTCATAGAGCTTAGCCCCACGAATAATTCTGCTTCGAGCTACCAAGGCAGCGCGACGCCTAGATCTGATTATGGTAGGGGGTGCCTTAGCAACCTCAGATATGGGCTTCTTCAGACCAGAAGAACCCTCAGCCTTACCAGAAGCGACTTCCTTGCTGAAATCAAGCGCCCTCTTGCCCCGACGCCTGATTTCCTCCCTCCTACCTTCCTCAATGTCATCAATGGATTGGGGACTTCACCAAGAGCATTCCAGGTGTAATCGCTAATAAAAGGACCCCTATCCTCAGCTTTGTACATTCTACGAGGCCAAGGAGAATCGGTGTTGAAGGAGTGAATCAACTTTTGAATAATATCACCTTCCTCTTCAACATCAGTCGCAAAGAAGGCATCAAGTGGATCAAGGTTAACCATTGCTAAAGGGACTCGTTTTTTAAAAAGGAATCAACCCTCAATTTGTCAGAATCAAAGAGAGAGCACAAGTGACAGATCTGGGAGATGAACCCAGAAAAGAGGAGAGAGAGTGACAAAACCCAGAAAAGAGGAGAGAGAGAAGAACCAGAAAGTAGAAGAACAGAGTGAGTTGTTGAGAAGATGAACAGGTTTAAATGAAGAACAAGAACCCTAGAAATTTCTTCCATTTAATGTTAGTAGTTGGGGATCTCAATTAATGTTGTTAGTTGGGAATACATGGAAAAATTGGTGGGAATGGTTAAGGAAATCTAAAAATCTGATTAACCTAAGCAATTCAGATTAGTAAACATGATTGTTGTCTTATATTTTTAATCAGGGGCATTTTGGTCATTTTTATCTTTTTTTTACTAAAAAAGGAAACAAAAAAATTGGTTGCACATAATGTTAAACGACTAAAAATGGTAAAAGTTGCAAATAATGGTTAACGGAGGTAGTATTATAAACACCCCTGAAGTCCAGGCCAAGCCCTTAAATGTTGTGTTGTTGCGGAATGCAGAGTAGCGGAGGCCCTAAAATAATCGACATTAGTTACCACGCAACATTATTCAGACTTCCAATAGAAACTTCGAATTTGCTTCCAAAATTGACAAATTTCACCCTTCCGAAATTTCGAAATTGCTTCTCAGTTCACTCATCAATCTTCAGGTACGATTTCTCTCTCTTCACTGTAATTTCCATAATTTGCTCATTTTCGTATAATTTCTAGTATTTTGATTGTACTTGAATCAGAAATTACTGAAATATTGTTGAATTTACATCCAATTGCATCAAGAATCTTGAATTTTACTTCCAATTTCATGATTAATGCCCTTAAAGAACCCTAGTTTTTCAAGTTTCATCAGAAATCTTCAGGATGCTTGGTTTTGTTTTCAATTCAACTTCGATTTTTAGGGTTTATATAACTGTGCTGCAACTTATGCAAAAAACGAGATCAATTATGGACAAAACACCTAGGATTGACAACTGGACTGATGATTTAGGGTTTTATTCGATTTTGTTTTATTGAGAAAGTGGTTTGGTGAGAAATTCATAGACCAATTTGTTCCCACTGTTTAATTTGAGCAGGATGTTTGATCAGAAATCTGTTGCGGTACTATTTGTGGTGAGCCCTGCTATAATATTAGGGGGTTTTCTGGCCCAATATTCGTCGTACCCGTTAGCTGGGGTGAGGGTTCATATGGTTGGTTTTATCTGGATGCTGCTGGGGACTCTTTGTAAATTCATGTTGCTGCACAGTGGTGCTGATCGTGTTCCCAAGTTTAAGGAACGAAGCCTTTATGACCTCGGTATTTCTCTAGTTAAGGCCTTTGGCTCACTTCTTTCTATGCTCGGTGTCATCTTACTTGGAATTATGGTATACATACTAATCTTACTCTGGTTTACCGCATTGTATACATACTAATCTTACTCTGGTTTACCGCATTGTGCCATTGCATTGCTTATAATTTTCGTTTGTAGATTAAAAGAAAAATCAGATGCTGGCTTACAACATGTAGAAAACAAGATACAATGTTTGCTGTTAAAGTCTATCTGTTTTAAGGTATTCATTATCCTGTGATCTTCGTGCAGGAAACTAGTGCATATGTGTGGGTTGGAGTTGTAGGGAGTTTCATTGCGTTCATCGGAGGTTTGGCATATCTATTCAAGCAGTTATGGATTGAGCAATTGGAAAGAGAGTGGCTTCTTCAAGCCGAGCAGGAGTCAAAATAATTTTTTGGTTGGTTTAATCTGCCCTCTAGAGTATCACACATCTTGATTTTCATGTGCCACTTTTGACACTCCTCACCTTACCTTGCTAAATCATGTGGTGTAGTTCAGTCAGCCGTCTTCTAGGATAACTTTGGATATATTGCAGATAAATAGCGTAGTTTGTTGCTTTTGTTATCGTAACTGTATAGGTGTTAGTAACGTCGTTTTTAGGAATGGTTGGAGTTATGCATCTTTTTATTGAACTTTTTGTTACGGGTAAATTGGGTTTGTAACTTTGTATAAATGATGGGTTATGTGCTATTGTGCATTTGTGCTGTGTCTATATAGCAAATTAGAGCTTTTGTTGAATTTCTACTGATAAACACTAGTGATTAAAATAAACGTAACATGAAAGAAAATTGAAATACATGATTCTAACTATTGTTGTTCTGCTACAAACAGTCCCACCAAATGTTTATCTTAGGTTGGGCCAAACTTTGAGATTCTTTTGATGATATTGGGCCAAACTTTGAGATTCTTTTGATGATATTGGGCCTAATAACTTGTTTACCTACTATAATGACCTTAATAAGTAATGTTCTCTGTATTTTTTAAATGAGTCATTTTGATTTGGCCCACTACAATCAAATACATCTCAAAGTTTGGCTCAATCAAGGATTATAGGTGTGATTATTTTTAGTGGAATGGTAACAGTTAGGACGGTTTATTTCAAAAAATAATAATAAGTCCAATAAAAATGGGATAGGTAAAGTTGTACATCAAATCTTAGTTTTCAGAATAACTATACTCTTTTTATATCAAGCTTCAATAAACCGAGTATGGCATGTAGGAATATCAGCAAAGTTGTATACAAAACAAATAATTACTGAGTATAAAGCAACAAATTAATTTGATAAATACATATAGCACTAAATCAAATAAAGAATAACTTCGTGATATAACGAGTTTAAAAACAAATGTGACTAGATATTATATTTCTTCAAAAAAATATTATTATTTTTTAGAGAAAGCATTAAAAATTACAAGTGGGAGAAGAGCATTCAAATTTGCAGCCTATTACTTTTCGTTCCTTATTTTTTCAGAATTTCCTCGAAATTGTTTACCACCAGGAATGGTAAAAAGGGTTTCGTGACAAAATTAAGCTTTAGAAGTAGTAGAAAATCTAGAAACCACACTATTTGATTTAAGTATCTTTGATGATTTAGATTCGATATTGCGAAATATGATGGTGGAATTATACTGATCCCATAACAAAATTTGGGCATCTCTTAATTTGCTAAGAAGTGAAATGGTACCGCGACGAAAACCCCAGTTCAACGGCCACAATTCTGACTCCAAAGGATTGTAATTTTTGTCCATGAGTCCTTCACCTTGTAATCTTTCATCACCCACAAACTTGATATTCTTTATCCATATACACGAGCTTACCAATTTCTTCCCTTAAAGAACTTTTCGATTCACGTGTAATTATATACAAGCAATCATCAAAAACCCTTAGCTAATATAAAGTATTATCATGTGTAATAGAAGTAGGCAATACAAATTTGCTCCATTGTTCAGTCTGAATATCAAAACAACCAATTACACCACCACCGAATAGGAAATGAAGTCGATGTCCATCAACAACTGCAGCCGAAAAATACGTTGATTGCATCACACGAAAGTGGATGTTCAAAGATCTCCAAGAATTGGTCATCAAGCTGTCTATACTAGACTTTCTCGCTCCTCGTCCTTACATTTGACACGAAAATCCAACACCAACACATGATATTAACATAACAATCTTGTAGTCGTTATTAACACCATCGAAACTAAATCCAGATTTTAGTGAAAAACTTCCATTGTTATCCAGAAAGTAAAAACCTATTTCCTTGTAAACTCCAATAGATGGATTGAATATCACGTAATCTAAGTGAGAGTTGAGCTGGCATTAGCATTGTATACAATGCAAGCCATTGCAAGATCCTACTAAAGTGCTTTCAACACTACTTTTATCATGATAACGAAGTTCGAGTCGTTGGACAGGTGAAGGAGATGATAGAGAAGCTGAATCTAAAGAGTAAAGACTATGATCATACAAATAGAGAATGTAAAGTTTTTCATAATGGGAAGATAATTTTAGAGTACGGAGATGAAAGTTGATGAATTGTGGACTTGATATTAGGGTTTTGAAATATTTGGATACACACTTTAAACGAAGGAGTGATTTAATAGGTAGTTTTAGGAGGATATAGGGAATTATGTCTTCGGGAATTGCCAATTCAAGGGATATGCTGGGTTTTTTGGCCATCTTAGATGAAGCTCTCTAAGGTTTATATTTTTCACGAGAAGAAATATAAAGGAGTTATGTATATATATTTATAGAGGATGGACTAAGGAGTTTTGTACATTTATGAACTATTAAATATTCCATAACTGCTTACGCATGAGTTTCCTAATCTTTTATAAGATATGAGATAGGAGGGAGCTTTTTTTTTTTTTTAAATAATAATAATAATAATAATAATAATAATAATAATAATAATAATAATAATAATAATAATAATAATAATAATAATAATAATAATAATAATAATAATAATAATAATAATAATAATAATAATAATAATCTTTCAAAAAAAAAAAAAATTAAATTGTAAAATCAATAAGATAACGACACATGTTCCATATAATCTGCTAATTAGGTTACTAATTGATTATAATTTGTTATAAGCGGATAACCCAAAAATTGTATTATTTTGAAATAATCAAAATATTGACTTTGGTTGTATTATTTTTGACAATTTTCTCAATATAAAACCATAAACTATGAGATTTTTGTTATTTAATTTTTTTTTTTTTGACAACCACGGGGAATTAATTTATTACATCATCATAATATTATATTCTTTTTTCTGTTAAATGAATGACCATAAATAGATTCTAAAAAAAATAACATAAATAAAACAATATTAAAAATGTAATAAATGGATAGGGTGCTAGTTGAATTAAGCCCAAATTCTACTCTACTCAATTTCAAATAATTAGTTCATACTTACATATTTTGCCTACATCCTTGTATAGGTAGCACTACCTACACCTCCTATCCTTCTTAATGACGTCATTCTAGATTTTTTTCAGATTCGAATCATTAATAAAATGCTCACTTTTATATAGGTAAATCCAGTAAATGTTCAAATTTGTACCATTAAATGTTCAATCTTGTTCATATGACCTGCTATATTCAAATTATTATATTTTTGTTTTTGGATTTTTTTTATTAATTTTTCTTATTATTTAGTTAAGTTAATAGACTTTGTTTGATAAAAAAAATCTTCCAATATAGAATAAAAGTAAGGAAAAATTTTAAAATACCACCTACTGCTGTACCCATTTTTTACAATACCACCAACAATTTATTTATTCATTTTTTTTTTAATTTTATTTTACCACCATTTTTTTTTTCAAATCCTTAAAAATTACTTTTCAAGATGATCGATCCAAGGTATTTAAACACATTCATTCGTGGCCAAGTCCTTTCAATTGCCCCCTTTGTATACCAAAGTGACATACTATATATTCAGTCTTACTCCAACTTAGATTAAACTCTTTAAATTCCAACCTTTGCCTCCATTGCTCCAATTTGGCATTATCCCTATTTTTAATTTCATCCACCAAAACGATATCATCATCAAACAACATATACCATGGAATTTCATCTTGAAATAGCTTAGTTACCTCTTCTAGAACCGTTGTAAAAAGAAAAGGACTTAATGCATACCCTTGACGCAATCCAATTGTAGTAGGAAAATCTTTTGTCAACCCTCCACATGTTGCAATTATTATGATACATGTTTCAAAATAGGTTATCAAAGTACATTTGGTACTAATTGCGCTTTCAGCCTTAGATTGGGACGAGCTATGCATATGTCTATGGGCCCAGCATGTCGATGAGCCCTTAATTTGAAAACAATGTCCATACGATACTCATATGAGTCACATCTCAGCAATGTGCCATTTGTGTCATATCGGATCTATTCAATTGTTGTCCAAGCCCAACTCTTACCAAATTAGTTTTTGCACGAGTTGTCCATTCTATTGTTATGCAGCTTATAGTCTTATACTCAATATTCTAATGCTTTAAGCTACAATTTTTTTAATAATTATTTTTTATCATTTAAAGTGTACTTTGCAAAAAGAGAAATTTATACATAATACACTAGATGCACGCAAGATTTCAATTTAGACATTTATTTTTATTCTTTTTTGATTCGAATGAGGAAAAAAATTTCAAACAGAAGCAAAGAGCAAAAAAGACAGAAAATAAATCTGCATAATACTACCTACGGAATCTTAATATGGGTCTGGATCGCACCCGCAAACCAAGGGAGAGAGTCAAGTTCACAAGACCAAAGGAAAGTCCATCCCAAAATCATATGGCAATAGGAGGTTTAGCCCCTTGGCCTTATTAAGTTATTAACTTTCTCTTCTTAATCAATGCAGGACACTAACATGTGTTATGTGGTAGGTTATACTTCAACACTCCCCCTCACATGTAAGGTTCTTTTAACTCAAGGATCACATGACCAGTTAAATTTGGCTCAAAATACTTAATGCCATTAAATTAAAGGTCCCAAACAATGGGCATAGTAATACACTCAAACCATTAGAGACCCCAAACTGTGGGCCTAGCTCTAATACCATGTTAAATACGGATTTAGGTCACACACTCGATAACTAAGAGAGAGAGTCAAGTTCACAAGATTAAAGGAATTTCCATCCCAAAACCATATGGCAATAGGAGGTTTAGCCCTTGGCCTTATAAAGTGATTAACTCTCTCTTATTAACTAATGTGAGACACTTATATGTGTTATATGGCAGGATATACTTCAACATGAAGGGACTTAGCGTAGTTAGTGCTGTCAAAATTCAAACCGAAACCGTTTAACTGCCCGAAACCAACCGACCCAAATGAGAACCGAACCGATTAAAAACCGAAAACCGACCCGAACCGTATTTAAGTAAAACCGAAATCGAACCGATCCGAATAATGTCAAACCGTATAAGAACCGAACCCCTTAACAAACCGAACCAGTTTTAAACCGAACCGAAAAAGAACCGAACCGTTTCTTACCCGAAACCGTTTGAATCGAGGTAAAAACCGTTTACACCAAACCGTTAACAAACTGCAACCCGTTTGCACCGAACCGTTTATAAACGGAACTGTCTATAAATCAAACTGTAATTTCGATCTCACAATAACTCATCAAATCATGATTATGACACATCAATTAGATGATTGAATAAGAAGCAACTAATAATGTGATAGAAAACAATAATAATTCATTAATACACTAAACTTTTATAATCTACGTTACTTCGTAATAAACTAGTAACATCAGTATGACTAAACTTGAAAATAACATGATATGCATTTTTAAAATCGATGAAAATTTGTATATAATATAATGCCTAAATATGAAGTGATGAATTCTCGCCTTGATATAAAACTTGTTAACTAGCAAAAGGTTAGTTAGCAAGTACTATGAAATTTAGTAAACGTGAAATGGAACTGAACTTAATAACATTAAATCGTATAAAAGGCGAACCCGTTAACAAACCGAACCAAAATAAAACTGAACCGAAAAAGAATCGAACCGTTTCTAACTCGAAATCGTTTCCAAACCGAAACTGTTTGAACCGGTATAAAAACCGTTTACACCGAAGCGTTAACAAACCGCAACCCGGCTGCACTGAACCGTTTACAACCCGAACCAAATTAAAACCGCTCAAGAATAAACCGAAACCGAATTGAACCGATAACTATTTAAACCATACTGAAGCCGACACGCGATACATTTAAATCGATTTCAAACCGACCCGATTTCAAACCGAACCAAACCCAAACTGTCAAACCGTTTTGACAGTGCTAAGCGTAGTAAAGCCACACCTCTAGTACCCTCCTCTAAAATACGACTTAACTATACCGGAATAACATTAAAATTCTCAAGTTGACAGATGAATGACTCAGCGGTTGACCAATCAATTTGCGTTGCTGCTCTATTCTCTTCTTGATACGCAAGATTTCATGTGTGATTGGTGTGAACTATTTTAGCAAACAATAATTAGTGAAATATTCTTATATAAACACTTGGGTGTACCTAGATATAGTATACCTAAAGTTGAAAATAAAAAATAAAAGGATTTTTCTATGTTGTGTCTTCTTAAATCCAAACTTCTACACAATACCCATAAGTTTATTAACTTCATCACTTTTAACCCTTTGTTAAGTTAATGATAAACACTATTAATTGACTATTAACTATGTTTAGCAATATACAAGTATATATTTTTTCCTTTATTTTTTTAAAAAGTGGTTAGCAATATGTTATTATAAGATTAATGTGGTTATATTCCCTCCAAACTCACGCTCCTCCACCATTCTTAGTATTTCTTTCTTCTTCTCTAGAATAAAATTCTCCATTTTTTTTTAAAAAATAAATAAATAAATTCCAGCTAATATGAGAAAAAAAAGAAAAAAAAAATTCCCAAAGAAATACTAAAACCTTCTTTACTTTGATCCTTCCCTTCCTTTCTCTACTCTTCTTTACTTCTACGTTCCTTTTCTTCTTCTACTAATTCTCCTTCCTAACAAATAAACCTTTCAATTAAATAATCAATTAACTCTTAATTAATTAATTAATTCCTTCATCAACAACTTTCCCAAGCAAAGCATTTTTCAATCTCATTAAAAACCCTTCATTTCATTCATCATAAAATCAAACATTTCAACCCAACTAATTATCATTTATCAACACCAATATACTCTGTTTTCCTACAACAATGTCACCTAAAGAAGAAGCACCTGCCGCAGCAGCAACCGAAGCACCAAAAATGGCACCCCAACAACAACAAGAAGCAGCCCCTGTTAAAACCCACATTCCAACATCCAAGTATTCTAAGAGGGTAGTGTTGAAAACCTTGTTTAGCCGGGAAGATCGCGGTATCGGATTGTCCGGAGAAAGAATTGTGATTGGAGGTTGGGTTAAGTCTTCTAAAGAGGTGAGGAAACAACCACCTTTACCTCAACCTGATACTACTCAACCTCAACCGGGGGCGAAAGCCGGGCAGAAGGATGTGACTTGTACTGAACTTTTGCAGAATCGAATGCCGATTTTTCGTACATTCTTGAAGCTCTTTGGAGTTGGCACTCATAATGAGAAAGATTCAGCCGGAGGCTTAACATACAGAGTGCAACATCCTGTTATGCCCACTGTGTTTTTGCAAATCAGTGATGGTTCTTGCATTGACAGTCTTCAGGTATATAATGTTTTACTGCTTTTGCTAATTTTTTTTATTTCATTTTGATTTTTCAAATGTGGTTTTGCTAGTTATACATTGATTATATTGTAAAACTTCGAGAACTTATAAGTGGGGTCGACTGCATGAACCAAAAGTGACTATTAAAATTTCGAGAACTTAGTGATACATGGAATATAAATGTAACTTTTGAGTGTGTAAAGATGATTTTTAATTAACATAACAATTCTTCAGGTTGTGGTGGACTCAACTCTGGCTCCTCCAGGACAAATATTGCTAAGTGGTACTTGTATTCTGGTGGAAGGTGTTATACAGCCGCCTTCGACGGGAGGAAAGCATAGCATCGAGGTGAAAGCCGAAAAGGTGTTACATCTTGGTGTAGTAGAAGATCATGAAAAGTATCCCTTATCCAAGAAAAGACTCCCTTTGCACACTTTAAGGGATTGGGCTCATTTTCGTCCTAGGACAACTACAGTAATATTCCTTCCTTAAAGAATTGATTCCAGTTTACATTATCTTATGCAACTAATATATACAAGTATATTCTCATCATGTCATTCGATTTCTTTGTTTGTAGGTCGCTTCCATTACAAGAATTCGACATTCCCTTTCACACGCGACACACAACTTCTTTCAGAACAATGGGTTCCTTTACGTGCAAGTGCCTGTTATCACAACCACGGATTCTGAGGGTTTGAGTAACAAGTTCAATGTTACAACACTTCTTGGTAAGACAACAGAGGAACCATCGAATAAGCCAAGTGTAGTAAGAAAACAAGTTAGTGGTGTTAGCCTTGAATCCATTAAGGCTTCTCTTAAGGAGAAGAGTAACCAAGTGGAGGAGCTAAAGAGGACAGACAGCAATAGGGAAGCATTACTTGCCGCGATTCAGGATCTTAAGAAGACAAACGAGCTTGCTTCGCAGTTGGAGGCCAAGGAGAAAAAAGAGAAAGCAAAGGCTACTGCTTTGGTTAAGCCTGATAGACTCGATTTCACAGATGATTTCTTTTCCTGTCAAGCTTTTCTTACAGTCTCAGGGCGGCTTCATCTCGAAAGTTATGCTTGTGCACTTGGTAATGTGTACTCCTTTGGTCCAAGATTTAAGGCTCAGACTTCTCATTCTACTAGGCATGTTTCTGAGATGTGGATGGTCGAGGCTGAAATGGCTTTTGCTGAACTAGAGGTATCCCAATTCATTGACAATCTTCTAAATTGTTCCGATTTTTGAAATTTTCATTGAACAAGGAGTAATAGTTATTGCATTTACATTCTTTGTGCAGGAAGCCATGTGCTGTGCTACTGATCTTTTGAAGCACTTGTGCAAATGGGTGCTAGAAAAGTGTAATGAAGACATGAAGTTTGTCCTAAAACGGGTGGATCAAAGCATTGTTGGCCGTCTACAATCCGTTGTATCGACAAACTTTGAGAAACTACCTTACTGTAAGGCCATTGATATTCTGAAACAGGCTAAAGAGCAGAAGTTCGACATGGATATCGAATGGGGTGTTCCTCTTACTGAAGAACATGAAAGGTAATGTACTTATAATTCTAGCTGTCTTTAATTTGTTTCCTGTTATTGTAGCAATTAAGCTAAAAATCTAACCATCTTTATCATTTGATCTGACTCAATGAAGCTATTTGGCTGATGAAATCTTCAAAAAGCCAGTTATCATTTATGATTATCCTAAGGAAGTTAAGCCCTTCTATGTTCGCCAAAATGATGATGGAAAGACAGTTGCCGCGTTTGATGTTATTGTGCCTAAGGTAGGAGCTGTGATAAGAGGAAGTCAGAATGAAGAACGCGTTAAAGTGCTAAGTACAAGGTAATCGTTGTTCTTATTTTCACTCTACATTATACATACAACTTTGAGCAAACGAAGAGTTTCTAAGAGTTTATTTTTCTTGATGAAATGTAACAGAATCAAGGAACTAGGCCTGTCAAGTGAACAATATGAATGGTACTTGGATCTTCGTCGAAATGGGACAGCCAAACATGCTGGATTTAGTCTCACTTTTGATCTAATTGTTCTTTTGGCTACTGGAATCTCGGATATTCGTGATGTTGTCCCATTTCCAAGGAGCTATGGAAAAATTAGCAACTAATCTCTGCAACTTTATTTTCTGAAGCTTACTGTAACAATTCTACAGGGTCTGAAACAGAACAAAGACCAGGAATATGTACATGAGTAGTTTATAATCATGTAATGTTTACTACAATGATTTTAAAATATATTTTATGTAGGTAAATATCATAAGATTCATAACAAAAGTATAGTGATGTAAATGAAATGTAAAATGCTGTATACCTGTTATTACTTATGTAATTATGTTATACAAGTATCTATTGATTTTTTTTTACATTTTTAGCTCTAAAGAACAGAGTAACAACCTTAGTTAAAAGTTAAACTTTCTGTTCTGTCAAATACTCATGTGACATGAAGCAAACTTGGTCAAAGTTCCAGTTTCTAACCAGAAAATAAAAAACTTCATCATCACATTATTCCAACCTTTGACATGAAACTACAAAGATACATACTTTGTATATATGCTTTCACTACTACTTACCATAACTTTATTTAGAAGTAAGGGACGAAGGGTGTAATATGTATGAAGTATAGAATATTCAATTAATATACAAATAATACAATCTTTCTGTTAGAAAAGGTGACAACTTTTTTCGAACTTGTTCATGATAATAGTGATTAGTGAATACTATAAAAACAGGGTTGTTTCCTCTTGATGCTATGTAGAAATTTTGTAAGCTTGCTAACTTTTCCGACCGGAATCCGGATTCCAGAAGAAAATCCCAGGGGGTCGCTCAGAAAGGCTGGTAGGGTTATATAATAGACTTCATAGCAGCATAGTTTGACATAAAAAGAGACACTACATGCTAGCTTTAGTCCTTAAAGTCAACTTTGGTCCACCATGAAACTTATAGAATCTTATTCAATGGTATCCTTTCATGCTCAATCTATACTCCATATTTAGTATTTAAAAACACAAACCATAAATTTTTTATATGACACATGACATCACAATTCACAAGTCAGTCATCACCCCATATGCCACATGTCATCTATCTTACTATTTATGTTTAAGTCTTTATGCATTATACAACTTGCAAATTTAAGTACGAAAATGAAGTGTTTCATTTCACCATGATAAAAAAATGTTTTAATTAATACACATTACATAAACATATACTTATAATAAAAATTGTCTTTTCATCTCCTAAACTTAAAATATAATTTAAAATAATATGTCATTTTATGTCCCACAATCTTCACATGTATATATCTAACTAAATTCCTTCATCTTCTTTCACGGTTCTACCCTCTCTCTTTTTTTCTTTTTAAGTTATAGAAATGAAACAATTTTCCTAAATATGAAAATAATTAACTCAAGTAACAACCCATGCATTGAACGAGCCAAAAAACTATTTATAATTTGGAAAGATATATGCATTATTGAGGCACCAAAGTAGCAACCACACAATCCATGCACGTACATATTGCAATATACTATGAGTACTAAGTTAGGCCCACCCATACCTGGTGCGAATTAATTTTACTTTTAAGGAGGGGCAGATGAGATTCGAACCCGTGATCTTTGTGTCACGCTGGCTCTGATACCATGTTAAAGGACCAATTTAACCAAAAGCTTAAACTGATGGTTGAGACCAGGAATATGTTTTATACTGTATCAGTTACCTTAAAAATTTTGTATGATGAAAGACTAGAAGTCAACTTTGAGCTTGTGGGGTTAGTCAGCACTCAGCAGCATTTTTTGACATGAAAAGAAATGTGGCTATGTATTGCACGGGCCATTTTTGGAAGGGTGTGGTCGTGTAGACAGTGGTGTGTTTGTGGAGGGCCTCAGGGTTTGAATAGAAGGATGTTCAAAGTCAACCGTGATTTGGTCAACCATTAAATTGCATTCACAAAAGCAGCCAAGTGGGGTTGCATACTGAGTTAGTGAGTCACTGATGATTTGAGAGGCCTATTTGAGTTTTAACACTTACTTAAAGTATGTCAACCATTCGATCTGCATTCCTTTTGGTGTTCTTGAGTTCTAATATTACCACAATAGGAGTGTTAATGGAAATCCATTCAAATTTGTTTTATTTTAATAATTTATAAACGCCTTGTTTTACATGTAAGAATACAGCTGTTAAAAGTTAATATATATGACCCGAAATACCGACTCAAACCCGATTATAAACCGACCCATCTGAATCCGAAAAAATGGTGAACCAAACCTGACCAGACCCAACCTGTAACCAACCCTAGACCCGAGTTGACCCGAGTATATATGTGAGACGACTCGAACCCAAACATGAACTGACATGGAGATGACCCGACCCGAATGTAACCCGTAAATTATTGACCTGAACCGAACCGACTTGAACCAAAATTGACCCAAACCCGTTTTAACCCGTCAAGATCCAAATTTAACTCGACTTGTTACTAACCTGACCTGAATTCAACCCTACCCGTTCCTAACCCGACCCGAATTTAACCTAATAACCTGTTACAAATCTGACCCGAAATCAACCTGACTTGTTAATGATCTGACCCAAATTCAACCCGACTTGTTATTGACCCGACCCGAGTTTACCAGACCTATTACTAACCCGACCCAAAAATTTAACATGATCTGTTACTAATCCGACTCGAAATCAACACGACTTGTTATTGAACCGACCTAAATTCAACCCAAACTGTTCCTGACCCGATTTCAGATCAAATCACCTTAAATGCAATTTAGACCAGCTTATTATTGTTGATCAAAACATTTTGTCTAGGGAGACCAAGTCGGTCCAGGCCAGCAAAAGAAAGGAGCATCATCCTCAAATTTAAGAGTTAAATATAGTATATATTTGTTGTATGGTCAAAGGAGATAATTATCTTCCTATATTATAAACTATACTTCCCTATTATATTGTCATATATATTATAGTCAAAGAAAATAATTAGCTTGATAAAAAATGATAAATATCAATTTATAATTAATTGAACCCGAATATGACCTCATTGGGAAATGACCCGACCTGATTGTAACCTGCAAAATTATTGACTTGAACATAACTCGACTTGAATCTGAGAATGACCCGATTGAAAATGACCCAACCTGATATAACCCGCAAATTATTGACTTAAACCGAACCCGGGAATGACCCGACTTGAAAATGACCCGACCTGATTATAATCCGCAAATTATTAACTTGAACCGAACCTGACTCAAACCCAAGAATGACCTGACCTGATTATAACCCCCACTTTATTGACTTGAACTAAACTCGACTCGAACCCGAGAATTACCCTAACCCGTTTTAACCCGTGAAAACCCGATTAAACCCGACCTATTGTTCACCCGAACCGAATGTAACCCGACCTGTTATTAACCCGACCCAAACCCGGAAATAAAAAATTTTCAAAATTTCTCAAAAAGCGTGGATATTAGACTTCAATTTTGGAATTATTTGACTTTTTTCGCCCGGAAATAAAATTTGACAAAATGTTTATCATAGTCTCTAATACCCTCCGAGAGTCCAATTGGGTGGATGGAACCATCCAATTTGCCTTTAAACGTCCAATTTAATGGTTTACAACTTGCACCGATTCATTGATTAACTCAAGCCTACCACGAACATTTATGACAACAAATAATGATCATACATGGATCCAAACAGCATTATATGACTATGAGATATATCCCCTAGAATTTCAAGACTTTTCGACACCGGGCCCCGAAACCTCCAAAATTTATCAAAAAGTGTGGATATTAGCCTTCAATTTTGGATTTTTTTTTTGACTTTTTTTCGCCCGGAAATAAAAATTGCCGAATTGTTTACCATGATCCCTAATATCCTCTGGGAGTCAAATTGGGTGGATGGAACCATCCAATTTGCCTTAAAAATTAAAGGCCTATTTACCGATATACTACTTGTACCAATTTCATTAACTCAAGCCTACCACGAACATTTATGATAACAATATAATGATTATATATGATTTCAAACGGAATTAAATGACCTCGAGATGTATCCCTTAAATTTTCGAGGCTTTTCGACACTGGGCCTTGAAATCTCCAAAATTTCTCAAAAACGTAGATATTAGCCTTCAATTTTGGAATTTTTCGACTTTTTTTTGCCCGGAAATAAAATTTACCAAAATGTTTACCATGGTAACTAATACCTCCGTGAGTCCAATTGGGTGGGTGGAACCATCTAATTTGTCTTTAAACAGCCAATTTACAGATTTACAACTTACACTGATTTCATTAACTCAAGCCTACCACAAACATTTATGACAACATATAATGATCATCTATGGTTCCAAACGTCATTATAAGACCCCAAGATGTATTCCCTAAAATCTCAAGGCTTTGAGAAACCATGACTCGAAACCTCCAATTTTTCTCAAAAAGTGTGGATATTAGCCTTCAATTTTGGAATTTTTTGACTTTTTTCGCCAGTAAATAAAAACTGCCAAAATTTTTACAATGGTACCTAATACCCTCCGGGAGTCCAATTGGGTGGGTTGAACCATCCAATTTGCCTTTAAACGACCAATTTACCGGTTTACAACTTGCATCGATTTCATTAGATCAAGCCCACTACAAACACTTATGACAACATTTAATGATTATAAATGGATCCAAAAGGAATTATATGACCCTGGGATGTATCCTCTAGAATTTCAAGACTTTTCGACACCCGGGCCCCGAAACCTCAAAAATTTCTAAAAAAACGTGGATATTAGCCTTCAATTTTGGAATTTTTCAATTTTTTTCGCCCGAAAATAAAAATTGCCTAAATGTTTACCATGGTCCCTAATACATTCTGGGAGTCCAAACGGGTGTGTGGAACCATCCAATTTGCAATTAAACGTCCAATTTACCGGTTTACAACTTGCACCGATTTCATTAATTCAGGCCTACCATGAACATTTATGACAACAAATAATGATCATATATGGTTCCAGATGACATTATATGACCCTGAGATGTATCCCATAGAATTTCAAGACTTTTCAACACCAGGCCTCGAAACCTCCAAAATTACTCAAAAAACGTGGATATTAGCCTTTAATTTTTGAATTTTTTTACTCTTTTGCCCGGAAATAAAAATTGCCGAAATGTTTACCATGGTCCTTAATACCCTACGGGAGTCCAATTAGGTGTGTGGAACCATCCAATTCGTTGTCAAACGGCCAATTTACCGGTTTACAACTTGCACCGATTTACCGGTTTACAACGGCCAATTTAATTAACTTGCACCGAACCCGACTTGAACCGAAATTGACCCTAACCCGTTTTAACCTGTCAAAA